CTACTTGGAAGGCTGAGACAGAAGGATCGCTGGAGCCCAGCAGGTCGAGGCTGCAGTGACTGGGAGCGGCCACTGCACTCCAGTCTGAGTGACAGTGAAACTGCAACTCAAAAAACAAAATAAGGAGTTTGAATTAGGTAGAAAAAGTATCCAAGTAGTATTCAAATATGTAACTATATGCTTGAAAGCACTGAAGGACTAATCTTTGAAATCATATGGCTCTACCCAAGAGAAGTCTGGCTAGGTGGTTGAGTGGCTTGTCTTAACCGTTCAGTGACTGGCCCCTACGAAACAGGCTTTTCGTAGGTTCTTTGGGCAAGAACCTGGTGAAGAAGATGGTTTTCCTATGTGGGCCTCTCTGAGTGTTAGGAAAGGCTGTGGTTTGTCTGTCAGCGTGTTTCTCCTTAAGGGTCAGGGCCACCATGGATTCTCTGTGCTCTGGAACTTGAGAGCCTTGGGCAAACCATGGCTTAGTTTCACAACTGCAGTTCTCTCTTTTCTTAAAGGTGAAAAGTTGTGCTGAGTTTGTGTCTCTCTCCAAGGCCAGGATTGGAGAATACGAGAAACAGGTAAGGACAAGCAATAGCCTTTGTCTGTAAGTTCTTCTCTTTCATGATCCTGCGTCTTGCACCTCGCGGCAGTTACCTGCCTTGGACTCCTGTTTTGCATCCCTGTGGCCCTTTTTGTCCCCTCTTTCCAGATGGAGAAGATGAGGAACATAATTCCGTTTGATCAGATGACCATTGAGGACTTGAATGAAGCCTTCCCAGAAACCAAATTAGACAAGAAGAAGTATCCCTATTGGCCTCACCAGCCAATTGAGAATTTATAAAACAGTCCAGGAAGAAGCTCTGGCTCTTATATTACACTGTGGACATTAAAAATAAACATATATAGTTCTGGGTGTGTCGGCTCCTCTGTGGTTGAGATAGCTAAGCCTCTTCTCTGACTTGGCCTCAGTGGAAGTGGGCTTTTTCTTAAGGTGGAAAGGTGAGCCAAAAGGGGTGTGTTGGGCCAGTGGTCTAACAGGATCGGTAAAAGCCACTTACTGAGGCCCCAGCGCTGCTGAAATCCTAACAACAGTAGGGCCTGTGGCAGTATTTCACTGCAGTATGGTAAAGAGGAGTCATTACATACTGATTGCCTTGGCTCCTAGGCAGTGCTCCTTTCTATCGGTAGTTTAAAGTGAGATGGTAGATCACAGGGGAAAGAAAATATAGAGAAGGAAAATTAAGGTGGTAGGAGTTGCCTTGGAAGTCAGATGCTTGGTATGCCTTCCACTTAATTGCTGGCTTAAGACCATGTGTTTAGTCTTGGGACTTTAGTTTTCCCACTTACGAATGTCAGGATTACAGTCAATTAAATGGGAAGTTTCTAGATAAGAAAAGGATCTAGGCCAAGTGTGGTAGCTCGTGCCTGTAATTCCAACACACTTTGGGAGGCTGAGGTGGGAGGATTCCTTGAGACCAGCCTGGGAAACATAGTGAGACTTAGTCTCAACCAAAAAAATGAAAAAATTAGGCAGGCGTGGTATCATGTGCCTCTAGTCACAGCTGCTTGGAAGGCTGAGCCCAGGAAGTCGAGGCTGCGGTGAGCTGTCATTGTGCCACTACACTCCAACCTGGGTGACAAGACACCTGCTCAAAAATAAATAAAATGAAATTTCTAGAAACTTAACAGTTGTAAAGATTTTTAGCATGCCTTTGTTTTTGACATATTTGTAAAACAAATTAGAGACTCTCACAGACTGTTATAAAAAGGCTAATTTAATAGCTTGTATACCAAACTATGGTATACAAACAATGGGAGATATTAAGTTAGACTATAAAGCAAGCTTTACATTAAAAAAAAATAACTGGGCATGGTGGCTCATGCATGTAATTTCAGCACTTGGGAGGTGGAGTTGAGCGGATTGCCTGAGTCCAAAGAATTGAGATCGGTCTAGACAACTTGGCAAGACCTCCTCTCTACAATAAATCAAAAAAATTAGCCAGGCGTGGTGGCGCACACCTGTGGTTCCAGCTACATGGAAGGCTGAGGCAGAAGGATCACCTGAGCCCAGCAGGTCGAGGCTGCGGTGATTGTGAGCATGCCGCTGCACTCTAACCTGGGTGACAGAGTGAGACTCTGGCTCAAAAAACAAAAACAAAAACAAAAACAAAACAAAGACATAATTTGATCAATAGTACAGAACTGAATGTCCAGAAATAGTCCTTAGCATATAAATATTAACTATGCATTTAAGTTTTATATGACTCAAATACTGTTTTTAATCATTGGAGAATGTCAGTGGTCTAAGTATTTGAAGTATTTGTAAAACAGAACATCCTTACACTAAAATTTCATTCACAGATTTATGTTTAAAAAAATGAGAAAAATTATAGATTAATATTTACATAATTTTTAGACTGAAGGATTTTTCTAAGTACAATGCCAAAGCAAAACCTAGAAACTAGAATGGTGGTGGGTACACTTAAAGCCTAGACCAAAAACTATTATACCCCCTAAAGCTGTTGACATTTTTAACAATTTAATTTTAAGAACCCTAGAAACTAGAATGAAAAATTGATAAATGTGGGGGGAAATGAGCCTGCTACTTGGGGACCCTACAGGCATCTTTGACTTGATATAACCAGCTTTAAGCCCCTCTCCTTCCCTGACTATGTGGCACCGCCATCCCACCTGAATCCTGAGGCCCTTAATCAAAAACCCCTCCCACACTCCATTTCCTGATCCTCTCCTGTGGTCTCCTCCTCTGAAATCTCGTCTGCTCAGGCCTTGTTCATTTCTCCTCACATCATCAGGTCTCACCCACCTTTAATACATAACAATATGTTCTTCATATTGCTGCCAAGAGCTTTTTAAGAAGCAAATGAGAAATTAGCCGGGCTTGGTAGTGCGTGCCTGTAGTTCCAGCTACTTGGAAGGCTGAGATGGAAGGATCGCCGGAGCCCAGCAGGTCCAGGCTGCAGTGGCCGGGAGTGGCCACTGCACTCCAGTCTGGGCGACAGAGTGAGACTCCAACTCAAAAAAAAAAAAAAAAGCAAATGCGTGCAGTTTACACCTCTATGTAAAACCCTCCTCTGACTTCCCATTGCCCACAAGATCAGATTCAGTCTCTTTACCCTGGCTGGCAGGGCTCTCAGGTCCTCTCTGTACACTGGTCTTTATCCGTTATAGCCACAGAAAATTGCTGACTGACTCCCACTTACACTTCCCATGAGACATTTGCAATTCCTGCTCATACTAGATTCGATTTGTTGAGTTCTGGCACTATACCCTGGTCACATTTATATTCCCTAAGTCGTAGCACTATGCTTGGGCATTTAGAAGAGTATAAACTCATTTAGATGTGCTTATTACAAATAGAAAACATGGGCTGGGTGTGGTAGCTCATGCCTGTAATCCCAGCACTTTGGAAGGCTGAGGTGAGTGGATCGCTTGAGCCCTGGAGTTTGAGACCAGCCTGGGTAACATAGTGAGACCTTATCTCTACAAACAAGTTTTTGAGGCTGGGCTCAGTGGCTCAGCCTGTAATCCCAGCACTTTAGGAGGCTGAGGTGAGTGAATTGCTTCAGCCCATGGGTTCGAGACCAGCCCTGGCAACTTGGCGAGACCTTGTCTCTACAAATAAAAACAAAAATTTTTTTGAGTTGGAGTCTTATTCTGCAGTCCATGCTGGAGTGTAGTGTCACGCTCACAGCCACCACAGCCTCGACCTCCTGGGCTCTGGCGATCCTTCCACCTCATCCCAGTAGCTGGAACTACTGGCATACGCTACCACGCCCGGCTAATTTTTGATTTATGGTAGAGACAGGTTTCACTGAGGTTGCACCAAGTTGCCCAGGCTGGTCTCGAACCCGCGGGCTCAGGCAATCCACTTGCCTCAGCCTCCCAAAGCACAGGATTATAGGCTGAGTCATCGAGTCAGGCCAGCCTTTTCTTTTTTTGTGTGATCTTATTATGTGGTTGGCCCCTTCCTATAATTTAGGGCTGGACCAAATGTTCTTCCACAGATGTTTTTTCTTGTTCCCCATCACCCTCTTTCTCTAGAAATCATCTTGTTTATTAGTTTATTTGTTTACTGTCCTTCTCTCTCAGAGTGCAAATTCCAAAGAGGCAGGGCCTGGAAGGTGGTTTGTGGGGAACAGAAATCTGAAACCCAGAGAAGCAGCAGTGACTCCAGTGGTCCACACTAGAGACACGATGCTGCCACCACGTGACAGGGCTTGGAAGCCAGGCCTAGCTTCAAGTAGCATCCATCAAACTTTGTGGCTGATTTGGGGTAGCAAGAACAAGAGTTCTGGATGACCCTAGAGAAGGGAACTTGGGACCTCATCTCTACAAAAAGTCAAAAATTAGCTGGGCATGGTAGCGTGTGCCTGTAGTTCCAGCTACTTGGAAGGCTGAGGCGGAAGGATGGCCGGAGCCCAGCGGGTGAGGCTGCGGGGGCCGGGCGCGGCCACTGCACTCCAGTCCGGGCGACAGAGTGAGACTCCAACTCAAAAAAGAAAGTATAAGGACTTAAAAAATTTTTTTCAACTTTTGAGTCAGTGACTTCCAAGAATCTGATGAAACTAGTCTTTCTCCAAATAAATATAATATCCCCTCGAATGTTGTACATAATGTGAAGTATGCAACCTGGAAAGCCCACCCATAGTTCCCTAGGAGCTAAAGTCTTCAAGTAAAAAAAAAGAGCGAGAAAAAGAAAAAAAAAATCATCCCTGGCTAGAAAAAGAAATTTTTTTTTTTTTTGAGTCGGAGCCTCGCTCCGTCACCCAGACTGGAGTGCAGCGGCCGCTCCCGGCCACTGCAGCCTCGACCTGCCGGGCCCCGGCGATCCTTCCGCCTCAGCCTTCCGAGGAGCCGGAACTACAGGCGCGCGCCACCACGCCCGGCTGGTTTTTTGATTTGTTGTAGAGGTGAGGTCTCGCCAAGTTGCCCAGGCGGATCTCGAACCCGCGGCCTCAGGCAATCCACTCACCTCAGCCTCCCAAAGCGCTGGGATTACAGGCTGAGCCCCCGAGCCCAGCTATCCTTAAAT